ACACACACACACACACACACACACACACACACACACACACACACAGAAAAATCTACGCATATATATATACTTTTCTTTTTCTTTCGCGACTTTACTTTCTGGGTCTAATGTGAACTGTCTCTGCTTCAGCCCAAGACCGAGCAGAGTGTGAGTGAAATCAGTGGAGATGTAAAGAAGCTGATTGAGTGTCTGTATGACAGCATGACGGAGTGCATCTATCAACACCCCATCACCTCCTTCACTGTGGAAACAGAACCTCAGGCGGTGTTCGACGTGGACATCCTGGGGAAGGGTCGCGCAGCCTTGGAGAGCGCTAACGATGAGCTGGGTGAGAATTTATTCATTTTATATTTTTTTTACACTTTAATAGAGTTTCCTTACTGGGGCTCTCTTAATTAATGGAGCATTATTGAGCTTCATCCTCTTTTAATCTCTGCTTTTACTTTCCTCAATCAGTCTTTTATTGCATTTAATGAACTGTGACCTGCCTCTCTCTTCTCTTTGTCTGCTCTTCCTTTATGCTGCTTCTCAGTCTTACAGTGGTCTGTGAGTACACTGCTAATAACGTCACATGATGCATGACATTATTACTTAGCTGGTTGAAGTCACAGGACGGCAGTGATGCTGCTGATTATCTTGCACGTGCATGTGTGTGTCTAATGTAAAACCCTAAAGAGATAAAGGCTCAGTCGATTGAAGGACTGAATAAACTGATCTGAGTGATATTTGAAGCCAAGATTTTTGTTTTGTTTGTTTCTGGTTGACTAAAGGTTTTTAGTCCTTGTACCTGACCTGATTTTCTTTGTTAGTTAGTTTGTTAAGATTTGTAACACACAGAAAACAAGGGACTGAACCAGTGCTTAGTCCACACATGGCAAAAAACTTACAACATATTATTTTATTTTTTATCTTTAAGCGCTTAGTTACAGGCAGTATGTCATAAAATCCCAGTTTTACAGGCATAAAATGGTATTTTTGTACCCATGAGGTGATTCTTAATGAGCTATTAACTAAAAATTTGGCGTATCTCAGCATGGTGTGTAGTTTGTCCTTAAAAAAATTGAGTAAACTGGGGAACAAATGACTTATTGGCAGACCTAAAAAAAAAAGAAAGGTGAATGGTATCTGAAATGGAGTAAAAGCAGAAAACGCTGTCAGTCATGGACGGGCCTTCCCGGAGCCCTGACCTCAGCATCACTGAACACTGTGAGATCATCTTGTCATCGGTTTTATAACTGTACCGACTCTATTTTTGTCTTAAATACTATATTAACATTAACATGCAAATAAATTAGAAGTGGCTTGAGACATTACTGTATAAGATAATAAAAGCAGTTAAGTTATTTTCCTAGAAAAAGTTGGATGCAGCGGTTAATCACACTTTAAAATCATTTTTGTTTCCCTAGTGACGCTGATTTTATTTAAGGATCATTGCTAAGTTAAGGTGTGTCATTTCTAAGTCGTTCTTGGTTTTATATTTTCTTACTTAAATTATTGCTATTTACCGCTCTTAACTAACCATCTTTAAAATCCATTGCAGTCTGTCCGAAATGCAGCTGCACATCTTTTAACTGTTTCCAAGAAGAGATGTCTTGCATCTTTATTCACTCTCTGTTAGCTTTAGAGTCAATTTTAAAATTCCCCTTTTAGCTTTGAAGCTAAAGCGCTCCAGTATATCGCACTCGGTGTCTCTCCTTCGGGTTTATGAGCCCGTTGTAACATGATCTTCTATTCGCCGACCTGGAGCTGCAGTCACACTGCGGTGAAAGCTGTAGGCTGACAGAAACAGCCAGTTGCAATTGTTTGACCAGACGACCTTGTGTCCTCTTCAAACTCCTTAATTTTTCCTTTAAATAATATTTAAAGTTCAAGGAAATCTCCAGCCATACGAACAAGTCAGTTCTGTCATCTGTGCGTAACGGCGATTTTCTGTGTAATGACCCAGAACTGTAAATTCATGTGTCTGCACGCTGAGTGATTATTTCCTCCTAATAATGTGAACAGGTTTCAGGCTGACACCAGCCACAGCGACAGAACGTGGCGTGCGTTCTTATGTTCATGCTCTGCTTATTCGCTCAGCTTCATTAACATTCACAAGCAGCTCAAAGAAATGAGAATCATTTCAGTGCACGTACTTTGTAGGCGCTGCCATGCTCGGCTGGTGAATTGAGGAGATAATTTAAAAAGAGGTATATGTGGAATTTGTTCTGACTACAGCTGCTTCGAATCCTTATGAAATCAATTTTACACTCAGTGTTTTGGTGTTTAATAGATGGGACACAAGTTTGTTATGCAGTGTGGATCCTTGGAATACTAATTGTAATGTGTTCATGCTAAGTACTGTTTAAGTGCAGTGGAAGTGATCAAATTTATGTGTAAACGAGCCAAAACCATCTCAGAGTTGTCGGCTTTCTTGTGTTTTGAAGCATGTTTGAATGCATGGTAGTGTGTCGATTGATTTTTGTTTCGCCCGAGGGTTAAATGATATTTTTCCAAGTTTATATATAGAGAACAATTCAAGGGAAGAAATGCTGACCGAAGCACTGTGCACCTTTTTTAGAAGAGCACGTTTTGAATCGATAGTAAATGGATGGAAACTACTCGGTGCTCTGTGGTTGTTTTTTTCAGTATTGAGGAACTTTATGTATGCACTTTTGTGGTTGGTGCAGGCTTGGCCTTTGACTCCTGGGATCTGGACTACTACACATCGATGTTCCAGAGGATTGAAAGGAACCCCACCAGTGTGGAATGTTTTGACCTGGCCCAGTCCAATAGGTGGGGTCGTCTGCAGTGAACAGATTGGCGGGACTGCTCTGTGTGTTGTGTGTTTTTGGTATTTATACGCTGCAAGGCTTTCTTTGTCCTTCCCAGTGAGCACAGTCGTCACTGGTTCTTCCGGGGGCGGATGGTGATCGACGGGAAGGAGCAGAAGGAGACTCTTTTCAGCCTCATAATGGACACGCAGCGGCACAGCAACCAGAACAACGTCATCAAGTTCTGCGACAACAGCAGGTAGTAGTGGCGACAGCAGGGGCGAGCACACTCGTGAGCGTGTCTGTCTATTTTGGCTCACTGTAAATTTTCTGTGTGTGTTCAGTGGCATCAAAGGCATGGAGCTTGAGTTCATTTACCCAAAAGACCCATCCCAAGCGAGCCCGTATGAGACTCGGCGCTCACTAAGACATGTCATCTTCACAGCAGAGACGCACAACTTCCCGACTGGTTAGGGCGCAAAAAGTTTTGTACTTATTTAAAATGCAAGTTTCTGTTTTTACCTGAGATTAATCGTGAGCTGGATGGACATTTTAGGTGTATCACCGTTCAGCGGAGCAACAACAGGGACTGGTGGTCGTATCAGAGATGTCCAGAGTGCCGGACGAGGAGGCCACGTCATTGCTGGCACTGCAGGATACTGCTTCGGGAACCTGCACATACCAGGTCCAAGACTCTATGCATCTAATGCATCTAACAAATTTCCCACGTGTGGGACTAATAAAGGTTATCTTATCTACTATTTAAGGGCAAGCTTTAAAACAGCTGTCCCCAACCTTTGTTGCGCCACGGACCGGTTTAATGTCAGACAATATTTTCACGGACCGGCCTTTAAGGTGTCGCAGATAAATAAAATAAAAATAAAATGATACAACTAAGACAAAAACTGTTGTGTTTTGTAAATACTAAACGCGAATTCACTGTCTAACTTTATTAGCATCGTCCTCCTGAAATGCAGCAACAACATTGAGAGTAACGTCCTCCTCTCTCCCCCTTAATGCTCTCTGGTTGCTATGGTAACATGTAAATATTTCTTTCAAAATAAGACGCACAACTACAACATGGGAAAAGACCCCAGGAAACAGAGTTGACGATAAAAACCCTGAAAATCATAAATTTCACACCCGAGCATCAACTCTCTCGTGGTTTCATTAAAGTATAATAATTTTCTCTTTTAAAGGTAAAATTGAAGAATTTGACCACATGCATTTAGATAAACCTAGATGTCATCTGGATAACAGTTAAAAAGAATCTGAAAGTCTTGAATGATTTGCCACACACTTGGCATCTGTACAGAAAATGGATAATGGTCTAATAATGAAACCCTGAGGCATAGGGCTGCCACGATTAGTCGACTAGTCACGATTATGTCGACTATTAAAATCGTCGACGACTGATTTAATAGTCGACGCGTCGTTTGAAGCTTTGTAAGATCCCAAAAGACGCAGGAATAAGTAGTAGGATTTAAGAGTGTAATAACGGACTGAAACAGAAGATGGCAGCACTGCATGTACAAGGATGCCAGCTGCCGTTAAACCCCGAAGAAGAAGAAGAAACTGTCCCAGAATTCATAGCGCAGCCCAGCTCAGTTTCCAACAATGGCGGCAGCTAGCTAGTTTTAATTTTACTCTTATTATTCTTTCTGGGTTACAAAATAAAAGTTTAACATATTTTCAGGCGAGAATGTAGCTGTGTAAACCTCAAATATCTGCTCAGTTTATCAAGACACCAAATATTTTCAAAAGCGCTCCGACGTTTTCGGAGACGTCTGTTACTCACTAGCTCGTTAGCGAGCCGGGGGCAAGGCTAACTAGAGCCGTGAGAACACCGGACTCCCGGCAGATCGTTTTCAAACCCACCGCCGTCTTTCGCTACTCAGGTTAAATATATATAAGTCACTTAGATAACTTAACAATGTTATTGTTTGGCTTTTTTTAGTATTTTATTTGTTCCTGAGTAAATCGGTTTGGCTGAGATTAAAGTTATAGTTTTTACACAGCTGAATAAACGTCAAGCAGACAGCTGATTATCAGAAGTGTGAGATGCTCCAGAATTTACTCCAGTGTCCTGTTATATTTTAGATAGCAAGGAGTTTATTAAACTTCACTGAACCAATCTGCAAATTTCATTAAAATTTAATAAACTATCATCTTGTCTTTATTTTTAGTTAGCACAGACCTTAAACACTTAAAGCTGTAAGCTAATGATAGTTATATAAGAGCAGATGCTGCTGGTGCAATAAGCTGTACCTTTTACGTCCAATGGATGATGATCTGATTAGTCGACTAATCGCAAAAATAATCGGTGACTAGTCGACTATCAAAATAATCGTTTGTGGCAGCCCTACTGAGGCACAACATGCCAAACGTAAAATAGATGGATTTTTGTTAATAAGGTATCAGAAAAAATGGTTGGACTGTGCTGCACAGAAACTGACCTTGAGTCAACATGTCTTTCCATCTGTAGGATATGATCTCCCATGGGAGTGTAAAGGAGAGGGATGGGAGTATCCCTCCACCTTTGCCCCTCCTCTGCAGGTGGCCATTGAGGCCAGCGATGGAGCTTCGGACTACGGCAACAAGTTTGGAGAACCTGTCCTCTCAGGTAGGACGACCGTACACACTAAACACATAAGTTTAAACAAGAATGCAAATCCAATACTATCTCTGTTGTTGCAGAAAATTCATTTTGTCTCTTTTCCTCAGACTGCTTCCCAAAAACATTGCATCTTTAAATCTGTAACCTGTTTTCTAACATAACTGTACAAATTTATGAATGACTATTGAATTATTTTGGCACTTCTTTAATATATAACCCTCCTTTAGGCTTTGCTCGTTCCTTCGGCATGCGGCTGGCTAATGGGGAGCGACGGGAGTGGATTAAGCCGATCATGTTCAGTGGTGGTCTCGGTTCTATCGAAGATCTACACGTGAAGAAAGAAGTGCCAGAGCCTGGTGATGCTTTAACACACTGTGTGAAATGACATTAATCAATTCAGAGGCTATATTTACACACATTGATCAGAGACTCTCTGCTGCTCTGCTGTCCATCAGGAATGGAGGTGGTGAAGATCGGGGGGCCTGTGTACAGGATCGGTGTAGGAGGAGGAGCAGCCTCTTCTGTTCAAGTATGAACACTACAATTAATCAATGACCTCGCGTGACGTGAATGTTTTTCAGTATTTAAGTACATGTAAACTTGTAGGTCCAGGGGGACAACTCCAGCGACAGGGATCTGGGTGCTGTCCAGAGGGGAGATGCTGAGATGGAGCAAAAGATGAACCGTGCTCTCAGGGCATGCCTGGAAAGAAGTGGCGGAAATCCAATCTGCAGTATACATGATCAGGGGGCAGGAGGAAATGGTGAGGAAAATGTGGCTTCTTTAAGAGGTTATATAAAGAAAGGGAGAAAAACCAAGGTATTGAACCTATACTCTTTCTTTTTTTTAGGTAATGTGCTCAAGGAGCTCAGTGAGCCAGCAGGAGCTGTGATATACTGCAGTAGATTCAAGGTAATCACCACATGAACACAGCTTTCTGTTTGTGTTTTTAAACACATTTCTTGTATTTTCTTTTAAATAGATAAATGCCTGGATTTTTTTATGCTTTGTGTTGTAGAAAGGTGACCCCACACTGAGTGTGTTGGAGCTTTGGGGGGCTGAGTATCAGGAGAGCAATGCCCTCCTGCTGCAGCCATCAGATCGGTCCTTCCTGGAGAGGGTGTGTCAAAGGGAGAAGTGTCCTGTTGACTTTGTGGGAAACATCACAGGAGACGGCAAGGCACGTTTTAGACTGGCTCGAGTCGATAAATGCACATCTATCATACCGGTCATTTCACCTCGTTGGCTAGGTCATAATGCCACAAGTGTCTCACTGAGTAAATCCACGCTCAGTGAATTACTGATTTCTCACTCAGATTGTTCTGGTCCGTGACGAGGGAGGAAGTGGCGATGAGGCAGACAGCGGGCGTTGTCCTGTGGACTTGCAGCTGGAGTGGGTTCTGGGAAAAATGCCGCAGAAGGAGTTTAAGATGGAGTCACTGGCCCTGAATCATCAAACACTGAGTCTTCCTGCTGGACTGACTGTCAAAGATGCTCTGCACAGAGTTTTACGTTTGCCTGCTGTGGCGTCCAAACGCTACCTGACCAACAAGGTGTGTGTGTATATATACCCGTCTTACAGACTCTTGTTTTTAGAAATAACTTGTGCAGACACTGATTCTCTCTGTTGTCTCTCTCTCCCTCCATCAGGTGGACCGGTCTGTGACTGGCTTGGTTGCCCAGCAACAGTGTGTCGGCCCTCTTCACACCCCATTGGCCGATGTGGCTGTTGTTGCTCTATCACCTTTCAGCCTAGGAGGAGCAGCAACAGCCATTGGGGAGCAGCCAATTAAAGGGCTGGTGTGTCCTGCAGCAGGGGCTCGCATGGCTGTGGGTGAGGCTCTGACCAATCTGGTGTTTGCAAGGGTAACAGAACTAAAGGTGAGTAAATATGCAGAAACAAACAAGCTTAATTAATATATCGCAGATATGCAAAAATGTAAAAAGGTGTATTTTTAATCCCAGCATGATGTAATTATTGGAATTTTATTATTATTATTATTATTATTTTTAAAATCTTGTCAGGATGTGAAGTGCAGTGGTAACTGGATGTGGGCTGCTAAGCTGCCTGGAGAGGGGGCATGCCTGTGGGA